CATTTGTATGTCTTAAAATAATTTCTATTCTTTTCTTTTCTCCTTTGATAAAGTATATTTGAATTAGCAATAAGCTGAAGAATTTAAAGAAAGCACCTGTATATCAGTCTTTTGATTTTGCTAATCCAGGTAATAGAGATGGTTAGTACATAATATATTAACCAACATTTGCTTACTTTTTACTTGCTACCTCTATGCAAACATTAGGACAACAGCTTTTTTTCATACAATTTACTTATCTGTCATACTCTGCTCTTCAACTTCTTTCCATTATGACCCACACTGTCATTCTCAACTTTTCCCTAAGTCTCAGGGAGAATATGGGCAAATATGTGTTAACAGCATGGGTTCCAGTGTCAATGCCTTCCTCTACTAGGAAGTGATAAAAAATTTAAGAGATAAAGCCTAATGGGATGTCCTTATATAACTGGGGGCATGCCTGTGAAGGTAACTGCAGCATTCCTCTTTTTGTCACTTCCTAACTCATAATGGACATGGTATTGCTCCATCACAAGCTTCTCACCATCACCACCTTGAACCCCCACCAGAGCTCCAAATAATGGGCCATGAAATAGACCATGAACTAGAACCTGCAAAACCGTGAGCTAAATAAACGTTTTCTGGAAGCTGACTAATACAGTGATATAAATATCCTTGCTGGTTGGAAAACAAAGACACTGATCACTGTGTGTGTTAGTGGAAAGAGGAAGGAAAGCCCCTATCTTCAAGCTAAAGGACTTGATCCCTAGCCCCACCATTCAAAGGCACAGAGAAGGCATTTTTTAAATCTGCAGTGCCCCAGAGCTGAGAAAAGTAGCTATCATAGTGGATGAAAACCAAGAAAACAAAACAAAAATAGCTTACATTTTATGGATACATGTTACATATGGCACTGGGTCATTCGTGCTTGGTGGAGGGTTCAAGATCAAACAAAATCAGGCCTTTTAGTGTCACAGATGGGGGAAGGGTCCAAGGGTATCAGTCTGATCTTACAGGTAAGACAATAGGCCTGTCAAGGATGTTCCCTAAATTCACCATCTATCTCTCTCTCTCTCTCTCTCTCTCTCTCTCTCTCTCTCTCTCTCTCTCTCTCTCTCTCTCTCTCTCTCCACAA